AGCCAGTCACCAATGCGCACTAGTTCAATTGAATTTTGAGGTTTGTAGGCATTCAGAGATATTTCAAGTTGGTGACCAGTGGGGCAAACCTGGCGGCCGTGAGGACAAATACTCAACGAAGACATTGGGTGGTGGTCGCGCTATGTCGTGAACTGACAGAAGTTGGAAATATGGACCATTGGATTCCGACCTGGTGGCGCAACGGCAAAGTGCTGGCCACGGAACCTGAAAGTCGCAGGTCGGATTCCTGGCGGGGTCGTGGGTGTGCAGTGCTGAGTCCTATACTACGACGAGACAGCTGTCCAGTGCTCCCAGGTTTCCATTGTTCCTCTAACTGGTGTCAGTCTACGATGAATACCGACTTGAGACCAATGGTTGATAGCCATCTCTCTAAACCACCAGCCTACACTTGGTTCTTAGGTATTGACAGAGGCACCGCTAGGATCGTAGACCCGTCAGTTGGCAGCAAAGTAGTATCACAAGCCGCTACACATTAGGTGTGGCTCATTGCCTACTGCATGGATGCACACGAGGTAGCTGAGTTCGTTTCGTTTCATCCGTTCACACAGCCAACTGACCGGTATCTTGAAGTTCGAATCAATCTAGCTGCCTCATTTGATTGATACAGGTTGAAACTTTATTCAGATTGCTTTCTCAATCAGGTCTAATGGTTATTTACTTGTTTTTTCGATCAGTTTTAAGCAGCAGGGATACACAGTTCGCAACTTACAACTTTCATGTTAGCATTTCTCATAGCTTGGTATTTTATCCATTACCTTGTTGTGCTTTCAGAAGGGATAAAATTGGAAATAAACTGTTAAACAGCATTAGTAGTTAGAAACCAGTCTCACTTGTACGGTAATCTCTGTGGTCCCGTCTTATTTGTTGAAACACTGGGTGACTGTTCCACCTGATTGTGATTGAGCTTATCATCGACGTTTTTGGATAAACTAAACTCACAAAAGCGTGTTATCAAGGTCGTTGAAACCTGTTGACCACCAGGAGCAGTTTCGAACTTCGCATTCTGTTCGACAATATGTTCGAAGGTAACTATTTTCATCTATTAGAATAAGGGTTATTAAAACAGCTAGGAATGATAACGTTATAGATTGTATATGCAAGGAAATCATAATGAAGTCAACTTATAGGCTAATAATAAGCCTCATCGATCCAATTAAACGTTTTTTACATGAATTGAAAAAATTACTGCTAAGGTCTGACTTCATGATTGAACGTATCACGTTTGAATCACCGAGCGAATTTTATTTTTCTCATGGTTGCAGATAGGCTTTGCTAGTGAATGGCGACAATTACGAAACGTAGATCCAGGATTTCCTTTTCTTCGACTTCTAACGCATAACATGTCTACATAGCGATCAAGCTTATAAAATTTCGTTATTATGCAAATCATAAAGAGTAATTTCTAGTTAATCCTACTGAATTATCTTGAAAGGAATGCATATTCACTCAGATTTTCTTGTTTATAATTTATTGGACAAATCGTCTATATGTACTAAAAGATTTAACTGTTGATTATAAATTTCATTATTGATCCTACTATAAGCTAACACAATAAGGTTTTATAAATCTTATCGAATAACAAATTTATTTACCATCAAGCATAAGGCTGAATAACTTTAAAGTTCATGTTTAGGTTTGCAAGTAATTTGGTTTTTAACAGATGTAAGTTATAGGTTCATACACATCTTTATATCACAAAGCCAGTATAAAGGAAGCTGTTCAAACTTGTGGACTGCATCATTCATATATCATTATTTATAATGCATGAGGAGATTCCTCGTCCAATGATTGTATTTACTTGCCTTGAGGTTTGTAACTGCATGGTCTCTGTATATTAACTGTTGAAAATGAACAATGTTAAGTAACAAAAAAGTTTTTATTTATTTTATCAGTTTGACTTTCTGAGGTAGACGTGGTTTAGCAGATTCGTATTGATAGTGAATCATGATTGAAGATGAAGTACAAGTCTTGACCGTGACAGGATTCTAACCAGCGACCTCCGCGTTACCTGTCCGGTGCTCTACCAACTGAGTTGTGAGATATGACTGCTGACCAAATTTTAATTTCACTACAATCACCGAGTGTTTTACCCGACTGCCATGTGGATTCGTAATACGTCACTATCACTTGATCGTACTCATACTGGCTGATTAGTCAGGACTTCTCATCCCGATCCAAATCTACTTGCACCATACTGATTATCAGTTTGCCCACCCTTGACTAGCGGTGAATTAGCAGATTTGTATTTATTTGTAACCTAAGTTTCAAAATTTTCTTGAAATGTCAAGCGACTGGTCAGTCATCATACACAAGGAACGCTGCAATCGCATAGGTTTCTCATAACATTGATTATTTATCTATTTATAGACACTGTTTTAGACAGTCCAGTGTGACAACCGCATCTCTTAGTTACATGAACAGTTGACCTTGAGATGGTTTAAATTGCGATTATTTTCTTTTTGTGGTCAGATAAGTTAAATGTTACGTGTTTAAAAGTGGTAAAATTTACAAACTAAGTCTCTGGTTGTAGTGAAGACTAAGTTTCCTAGGTCATATGTTAGGAATTGATGTTTTGAGTTTATGTGATGTGATTGAAGATGGATTTTGATTCTGCCGACGTATTTATCTTTTATCTTTCCCTTAATTATGGACATCATTGTGTACAATTTTTTAGGCATAATTCATAGATTAGTACAGGTATATACACTTGATATAATTCGCTCATTGTTAGTTGTTTGCGTTTTCCGACACAAAGCATGAAAGATCACTGTAATACAATTTCATATTCTAAATCATGATGATGAACAGCGCTAAGTGTATGACAAAGAATAAGTATTTATTGATATCTGTATTCGAGTAGCAGATGTCTTGTCTGAAAACTTTTAACGTATATTATAAACTTCAGGATCAAAATTTGACCTAATAGAGTTGAATAAGTTGAGCATTAGGTAAGTGGATTATGAATAAAATATATTTGTAAAATCTCAATGAGGTAGGAAAATACATTTCTGACGTTTCACGACTTCGTGGAAATTTCTTTTTCAGAGAATAAAACCTGTAGAACTTATCGACTGTTTAAGTAGTCAATAGTGACAAGGAAGTCGCAAAACGTCAGGAATTTTTTTCCATCTCATTGGGATTATACAAATATATTTCATTCATTGACGTATTGTTGAAAGTCATCAATCTACAGAATAGAATAAGATATCATTTTATGTTTTATTTTATCGTCTATCAAACCACATAATGAGCTTATTTGTTTCGATTGCACTTCAAGCATGCTCACTTCGTTACATGAAGATGAATGCTAGTAATAATATTCACATTGATTAGTTTAGGAAGACATATGTTATCGTGCCCCAGTGGCCTAGTAGATAAAACTTTGGTGTTTGAAGCTCTCAGTTCTGGGTTCGAGTTTCATCGAGGACAACACTACCCACTGGGGTGCAGACACATCCAGCTGACGAGTTCCAAATAGGATGAAACGAGCACCTTGGATTTCACTACAAGGTACCTAGATGGATATAGGACCAAGAATAGCTGGTAGTATTAAAGCATCCGTACAGGGACCCATCTGCCAACATAGGTCGAGAAATTCGGACTTGTATAGCAGTGGGAAATTACAAGTATCAAATGAAAAAGACATACGTTATCCTTAATCCTTCGTCAATGATTTTCGTATTAATATATTTCTCTAGAAAATGTTTTCAAGTAGAGAAACGAATGATAGTAATATCCAAAATATAAATAATACTTCATTGAAACCAGTTATCAGTTATCATGTTTATATAATATTTTGTAAGGTGAATTTTTAAGCTCCTATAAGTATGTCTTTTGATAATTAATGTATCTCATCTATAAAAAATTTGCTGACGAACTGTAATATTTACATGAGTTATGGAGTCTGGTTTCTTGTGCATAAACCATTAAATCATCCGTTTTGGCTACACCATCTCTTTCTTCACTCTCTCTCTCTCTCAGTAATCACGAATACCAAATGCAGATAAAACTTCTTATGTTTATTGACAAAACACACGTCTACATTCCCTTTGAGCTAAACTAAACCCATTTATTCATAGTGGAACACAAAAATTTCACAAATATTCTTCGGCACAGAATTCTACAAATGCAAATTCTTTGCTGTGCTGTAAGGTTGGAAATGAAAGTCGTTTTGATCATGAAAAGTGGTTTCTCTTTTTATTCTTCTTGGGGGGTGTGTAAATGAGTACTAAATTTATCTATTTACCTTTTTTGGGAATTAATCATACGACTACAGAATGGTTTATGTATTATTCATTACTACTAATCAGAATGGAATTTCTCGATGTTGTGTATTGCATCCTGTAGTTACGTAAACAGTTGACCTTGAGGCAACATTTCAACTTTCATTGTTTACAATCTTTTTCAGTCTAGGTTTCATATGTCTGGGACTAATAGAAGGCGAGAATAAAGTCATTGGCTGTTGGTCTGAACTATGTAGGAAAGTGTTAGATGTATTGATTTAGTGACTAGAAAATTCATCATGTGATAATACAATGGGATGTCTATTACTTATGGTTGCAGATTGGTTACAGATTGTGTCAATCAGAAAGGAGAAATACGCTTTATAAATTAATCATTGAAACAGAGAGTATGGGAACTTTTCTCGTATACTTTAATGTATATCAAAAACTTGATATTGTGTTAATTGCAGAGATGATCTTACTGACATCTACAATAAACCACAAAACTTAGATGTTCAGTTTATCCATTGGCTACTTGTAAATTTGTAGACTATGCAAAGAAAATAGTGTATTGTGCTATAATGTCACGTGGATGGGTGAATAATCTCATCAAGTATTACTTCAAGGATAGATTTCAAGTAGTAACACCGGAAAACTGAAAGGCATAACTACTCCAATAGTTTTTTCACTGACTGTCCTCTGAATTTGTTTAAGCCAATTATTTCATAAAAATTATTTGTTTGTTTTTTCAAATAGGATGAAAAGTTAGCGGTTCAAATCCAAGAAAGATCTCCTGGCAAATCATGGGATCGTATTGTGACAATATGTAGCGGTTTGGATCTGGTCAATATAAACTATACTCACATGGTTGCTAAAGATGCTGAAACAGCTTCAGTAAGTGGAGATTAGTATTGATTATTGTTATTGCGTTACTATTATTATTTTTATTAGTTCCGTGTAATGTCATGATGTAGAAAGAGAAATGTTTACATACATTTTTTGTTATTGAAATATTTCAATCTATTCCCCTATTTATTAACATCAACCCGAAATGAATGCTTGGCATTTTGTGTCTTTTTCCCCTGAGGATTATGAAGCCTCAATATGTTAACCTTGAATAATAAAAAGATTAACTTTTCCTTATGTTTTCTTTATAAGAATAATAGCGACAGCAGCAACAATAATGATTACTATCTATACTTTATGTAAACATATATAGATGAAACTGGTGAATGATTTTAATAATAACATTAGGATTTATTATAAGCTTTTCTTGTTGATTTATTTACTCTCAGTGGATTGATATATTTAAGCCTATGAAACCCTTGTTTTCCTACTTCAATACTGTTCTTTAATTGTAACTGGTAGTGGGACTTAAATGAATGAACATTAACAACATTACCGTGTATCGGTTCAAGTTGGAACACATCACGCCGACATATTGAGAAATAGAAATTCAAATCGAAGAAAGAAGGGTATGAAAGTACTTATAATAATTTCATGAGTCGCGAAAATAATAACCTGAAGGAGAAAAAGGAATAGGTTAAAATATGGTTTTTAAAATTTAGATGACGATATGTTATGCTTTGAGGGGAACGAACTCGGTCACATATCATTCACATTACCAATCAGTAAAATTAATACTCTTCCAACCTAGTTAGCCACAAATTTGACACGTTTATTTTAACTAAAGTCATTATTCACTTGTTTAGAGGTACTGCCTTGTTAGAAGGAGTTTGTAATTAACTTTTCCCGTGATTCCAAATCGGTATTCATCACCAAATGACATCAGTTGGATAGCCATAGAATACTTGAGACGACTGGATAGCTGTTTCATTCCAGTATGGGACTCGTCAGTAGTGCGCAGATATGACTCCACCAGGGACCGAACCCAGGATCTTCAAGTTTCACGGCGAGCATGTTACCACTGAGTCGCTGGGTCGAAACCCAATGGTCCAAATTTTCCTACTTCTGTCAGTTTATGATGTAGTGTGACTATCTAGTGCCCACAGGTTTTCAATAGTTCTCCAACTTGAAATTAATAAATCCCTACCAACCTTTAAGTTGTTTTTGTGTAACTGTTTTTATTGCTACAAGTGAACTTCATACAAAGTACTGCGTATCTGATTCCTTGAGATGTAAAAGTCATGTTTTTTCTCATAGCTATGTACAGTATCTAGTTGTATAGATTCGATGATACCTACAAACCACTTTATCTCTTAGCAAACATAACAATACTGGGAGCTTTATAAATTTATTATTAAGAAATGTTTTTTTAATGTTTATCTTATTTTACAAACTTAGTTTTACTGTTTATGTAGAGGAGTAAGTGACAATATGGTAGGGTGACTATTCACTTGCATTTTGAACCATCTTTTGTGACATCTTCAGTCGTCGAGTCATGAGACTTGGAGAACGTTACCATCTACAAGTCGTTAAAAATTTCCTTCTTTCTTATTTTCATAACACATCAGGGGTCGTCGTGCAGAATCTTCTTCTGTCATGTCACAGACATTGCGATATAAAGCAGGAAACGAAAACGTTTTCAATACAGAAATTATTTAGGTAGAATTTTCTGTTAACATGGTCATGTTAGATATCATGCTTTGGCATTGAATAAATTACTCGAAAACGTAGTAGCTTATCTTTTGGAGAAATCAAATAGAGAACAGGTCTTTTTAAAAGGTGGTCGGTAAAAAGAATAAAACAGAGTCATCACCGACACCCAAAAAGATGACAACTAACGCCTCATTCATACTCAAAATATGCTCTGTTTGTATGTTCAAGGATGATAGTATTAACTTGCCATCCACATGGTATCAGTAACTTTCAGAAATGTGATAGGGTAGATTGTATAGAAAGTCGCTATGTGTTCTATTTGATATCATTTTAGTTGCTATACCATCAAACTGAACTGAAATTTATGTGTATAACTAAGTCTGGAATCCTAATTGTATTTTATCACTAATTTTTCAACCTTTCTCTAATTCTACATATCAACTTTTCTGCATAAGGTGAAACGTCTATCGTTTTTATGCTATTGCTTGTAATTTCCCGCCGTTGATTGAACCGAATCGATCAGTTCCTGTCAGCAAATGGACTGCTGCGTTTCGTCATTAACGTCCTGGTGTTTGAAGTGATTGGTTCTGTGTTTTAGTTTTGGTGAAAACAATATTACTCACTGATAGGCTTACTGGTACATTCAGCTAACTAGTTCCAAAAAGGATGAGACGCGTGCTTTAGATTCCACTTATTATTTTATTATTTTTCCCTTGGGTTCCTAGTGGAACGTAGGGCTTCAGTAGCATGTCTACGTTGCACTCTGTTCTCTGCAGTCTTTTGGACCTGGCACCACGACTGCCTACAAGCTTTCATTTCTTCCTCACATGATCTCCTCCATGCCACCCTCGGCTCAGACGCCCAACTCGTCGTTTCCCCTTTGGATTCCACTCGGGCGACTGGCCTGGCGCGTGATGTCCCCAGTCGGCCTTCTCAGTGTATGCCCAATCCATCTCCACGTTCTTCTGTATATTTGTTGGGTGATAAGTTGTTGACTGTTTTGTTGCCAGCCAGAGTTCCTTGTTGCTTATTCTTATTATTCTGGCCATCTAATCTTCAGTATCGAGTGTAGGCGGCAGATGTTGATGAATGTCTGTAGTTTGTTGGAAATGCTTTTCGTGATACGCCAAGTTTCTGAACCATCACATAGAAGCGCTAACTTGACTGGCATTGGTGTTGAAAATGCGGATCTTGTTCACGCCTTATGGTGAGTGCAGTAGATCTCCAGATTGTTTTCAAATAAATGAAAGCCTGTCTTGCTTTCCCGATCCTGGTTTTGACATCCGCGTCTGTGTCGCCGCCTTTAGTTGAAACGATGCTGCTTAGGAAGGTAGATGAAAGCGACAACTTCCTTTAGGTTTCTCCCCTTAATGGTGATTGGTGCTTGGTGTTCATGCTGCTGTTGGTTGGGTATCTTCATCAACTCTGTCTTCTCCACATTCACTTGAAGTCACTGCCTTGCCTCTTCTGCCAACTTGTTGGTTTTCTTCCGTAGATCTTCGAGTTTGTGCGATATTACACATAATTCATCATCGGCGGCGAAATCCAAATCTTCTAGGCCCTTTCCATCGGTCCAACTAGCGTATCTCCCTCTTCTCGCTCCTCATGCTTCGCTGTATGATCCAGTCGACGATAATCAGGAAGATTATTTGTGATAGTAGGTAGCCTTGTCTTACTCCTGTCTTCACTTCAAAGGCGTCACTGAGCTTTCCATTGTGAATCACTTGGCATGTGGCGTCTTCATATAACTGATGACTGAGGTTGATAAAGATTTTTGGCACTCTGTAGTGTTGAAGCAACTGCCAAACTACTTCTCGGTTGACGCTATTGAAGGCATTTTCAAAGTCGATGAAGTTGAGGTGCTCTGTTTTATGATGATGCTCAGCGCAGCGTTGCAATTTGATCCGCACATGATTTGTTCTTCCTGAAGCCAGCCTGTTCCGGTCGTAGTTTTGAATCCAGCGCATTTCTTAGTTTGTCCAGGATGATGCGGCATAATGTTTTGCTTGGGGTGGACAGCACCATGATTCCGCGCCAGTTCTTGCCAAGGCTTAGGTCTCTTTTCTTTGGAGGTTTGACAAGGTAGCCCTTCTTCCAATCAATGGGCAGGTACCTCTCCTCCCTTCCTTGCAAACCTGCAGTAGTGGTGTGAGCATGTCAGATGATGTCTCTGCGTCTGTTTTTAGTGCTTCTGGAGGAATTCCATCTGTTCCTGCTGGTTTGCTGGATTTCAGCAGTTTTATGGCATTCAGGACTTCTGCTTTCGTCGGAGGGCCTGTGTTCGCTGGTAGTTCTGTCGTTGCTGGTGGTATTTCTGGACGAGTTGCAGGAGGAGGTGGTGGTGGTTGATTCAAGTTTTTTTAAATGGTCAGCCCATCGCTTTCTATATTTCTCCTCTTTGGTAACTAGGTTTCATTGGTTTCGTCTGCGTTGATATCTTCCCAGATAGTAACCTGGTTGTTTGATATGGTGTTGTCAGGTCTCTCCTACAAGCAGCTTGTTATGCTTCACTTGCCAATGTGTCGTAGAAGTGTCTTTTGTCATTGTGCGCACTCCTCTTCACTTCTTTGTCCAGTGTAGTTTTATAGATTGTGTTAAGTTCCTCTTTCCGTTGTTCATCCTTGCACTGGTTTATCTTCTGCTTCACCATCTTCCTCTCTTCTCTCAGCTTCCATGTGTCCGTCGAGATCCATTCTTTATCTTCTTTCTTCTTACTTCCTAATACGGTTATGCAGGTTTCTTTCCACATCTCTTTCAAAGACTTCCAGTGTTCTTCCACGCAGGTTTCCTTGGGGATGTTGCTCAACGTCTCCCATTTTGTTCTGATGGCTGCCGTGAAGATGTCCTTTGTGGTTTCACATTTCAGTTTCCGGGCGTTGAACTTGGATTGTGGTCTGTCACCAACTTCCTTGAAGGCTTTCAGCTTGAGTTGGACGGTTCCTTGCACTAGATAGTGGTCTGAACTTACATCTGCTCCTCTTTTTGGCCTTGTTTCCAGTAGGCTGACTGCGTCTCCACTTTCTTCACATTGAAATAAAGTCAATCTGATTTTTAATGTGTCCTGGTATCTGGTGAAATCCATGTCGCTTTGTGAATATCCTTGTGCTTGAACACAGTGCCTCCAATCACCAAATCGTTGAATGCACAAAATCCTGCAAACAATTCTTCATTCTCGTTCATTTCACCGAGTGCTTCTCGACCCATGGTTTATTCTCTTCCTGTGTTGTCTGCTCCCAGTTTGGCATTCATGTCACATATTAGAATTTTCATGTCACCATCTGGACTGGAGTCTTGTCTAGTACTGATTACAGTTGTCTGTAGAATTCTTCCCTCTTTTCTTGATCTGCATTATTTATTGGCTCGTAGCATTGAATGATTGCGACTTTCCTTCCTTTTGAGTTGAATCTTGCTGTCATGATCCTGATCGTTGAGGAGATTGGTTCCCACTGTATGAGAGCCTTCGATGTTCTTAAAGACATCATGATAGCCACCCAAAAACTCAGTGTGCTCGTGGTTGTTGTCTCGGTGACTGGAGTAGATTATTGGCTCTCTAGTTAAGAGTTTGGAGAGTCCATTTCCATTCCACATGATTTCGCAGATTCCTAGCACTTCCATGCCATACCTTCTCATCTCTTTTGCAATCTGGGCAGCCTTGCTAGGTTCATACATGGTACCGACATTCCATGTCGCCATTCTTACCTTCGCTTTTATCGAGGGAGAGAAGACACATCGGCCAATTGGCTTTTAGAAGGCTTTCACCAGGTGACGTCATTTCGCCTCTCCGATTCCAGCGAAGAATAAGTTTGTTTTTTATTTTCTATATTTACTTTGTGCTTTGAAGTTTGTTTGGTGGTTAAATTGGTTTTCTTGGGTAGGGTTGGTAGCCCTATGCTGAACCTCCCCTCTTTATCCGGGCTTAGGACCGGCTAGTAACTAGTGAACTAGTTAACCGCTACTTGCTACTGTCTATTGGCTATTAGTTTGTTAACTGTGAATGTTTCATCCAGTTTGTTTAATAAAATTTATTTGGGTTCAATAAAGTAGTGGACTATGACATATTTTAGTGGTTGCTGTGGTTATTCATGTTGCTTGGGCTATTTAGAAGAACCCTATTAGGTGTTGGTTTTTACAGCCATTCTATTGGTCAACTTGTCTATCGTATTTATTTTTAGTTTACAGAAGCAATATATCAGAAATTATTTTTTGTCTAAACATCAGTGTAGTTGCACTGATCAAATCAGTTAAAATGTGAAAGATTGATCAAACTATCAGTTTATGCAACATGGAATTTTTGTTCAATGCTAACTCATTCTATTGTACTTTAACAGTTGATAAAATTGTTTTTTTTTTCCGTAATATGTCATTGATTGTTTTATTCTTCTTAATATTTATTCATGAAATTAATTTGTTGTAATTGTTCAAATTATGAAGTTTTGGATTCAGTCTCTGAGAAGTTTAACGCATAATACTAAAGCAGCCAATGTTTGCCCTATGACTCAACTGAGAAAACAGTAAGTGTACTATTTTTGTCACTATTGTTGTACAAATTATTTCTTTTGAACATTATAATAATTGTTCGAAATCGCAGTAGGCTCATCACTAGGTATCATATTAGCGGATCTTTTCCTATCGAACGACCTATCAGAGAATTTCCATTTTGCTGTCGATATATAGATGATACATCCATTCTGTGCAAAAAGAACATGGAGAAGTCAAAGCTACTCAGCAGATTCAACCCAGAACACCCAGCGATGAAGTTCACATGTAAAGAAGAGTCACAAGGCAAGATAGCCTTTGTAGATGTTCTTCTCTCTAGACGAAAAGATGGGTCGATAAAGAGGAATTTGTTTAAGAAAAAATACATGGACAGGGCATTACACACGTTTAATCAGCTTCATCTCCCCTCAATACAGAGGAAATTTAGTAAAAACTTTATCAATTAAAGGGTATGTGCTCGGAAGATATAGGTGAGAAGGAACTGGGGACTTTAAGCAAGATACTAATCGAAAATGGCTATCCTGATAAAGTGATAAGGGAATGTGATTACAAAAATGGTAAAATGGATGTTCTAATGGCTAGCAGAAAACTGCTATGCGTTCGGGTATAACTGGGAGGTGATGTGCTCAGTGAGATGTTAATTCCCAAACTACGCAGATCAACTAGGAGAACTTCCATTGCTGATAAGTTACAAGTTTCATTTTTCATACGCCAAATGACGACTCCGAGACTGGAAGATGAATTGCCTAAACTGACCACTTCTAGTTGTGTTTGTTAGTTTGACTGCTTTTGTGGAGACAATTACATCGGCTGCTGCTCTAGAAACGTAATTTTCCGTGCTCGCGGACACCTTATAGCGTGGTAAAGTAAAGGTGTGTTAAAGAACACTACCAGCTGGATATCAGCACGCCTGTTTGAAATGAACCATATAGTGGACATGAATTAGTCCTTTTCCATTGTTTACCGAATTTCCATCAACTTGCCAAAAGGTACCCGTCTCAGGGTCCTTCGCACTGCAGAAGCAGTAGCGATCAGGATTAAGCAGCCCATGTTGTGTTCCAGACTAGCAAGTGTTGTCTCTACAGCTACTGTGGTCCGATTCGGGACGTACAGAATCATTAGCGTCCCACCCCATATAATCTAACTCCCTATAGTTTGAAATAATTTTAACGAGTTCTCTTAACCTATTTTATCCCGTAATATGAGTAACATTCTGTCAAGATGTTATTCTTCAAATTATCTTTTTTAGTTTATTTCATCTACCTCTCACAAACATATTGCTATTGTTTTATTAAACCTTATAGCGTTCATTCGTACGCCACATAATCATTTACATAACCAGTTATTTTGAATTATTAATTAATTCCTCAACTGTATAATACTATTAACAAACTGATAAGCGAAGTCTTAATATTGTTGATGTATAATTCCTCAATATGAAACATATAACTATATGATTTGAAGAAAAAGCTGTCGAAAAGACTATTCTTTATTCATTCAAATAGCTTTTGAAATACTGTGTCATATTTAACCAATGAGGAACAGCTATTTAACAACTCAAAATATACAAGATTCTAGTGTGCATTCATTCAGTACTCTGACTGCTTATTGGTCAACAGTATAAAGTCGTTTTTGATATTTAACCGATGTAGGCGAATAGTCTTTTGTGCATTAAGTGTGGTGAGTAAATCAACTTAACTTCTGTTTTCATTTAATTTCAATGGAGCAAGTGATTGTAATCAGTCAGCAAATAAATCTTAGTGAAGCATCACAATTATTCACATATATTTTTGAGATGAATGAGGATTTTTTAATTTAGAAGTAGTATTCATCATTGACTGACATCAGTTGGCGAATCATTGAAAGTCTAGGAGCACTGGACAGCTATCTCAGATAGTTAAACTGATAATGGTTGTTTAATTTCAATTCGTGGGGAGACTGTAATTGTTGTTACACTTTAATCACTTCAGAGTTAGTATCATCAACATAATTTATTCGTATTAAATTCAATATAACATTTTGGGCTGAATTTTCCTTCTTTTTTATTCATCAACTATCGAAACTGCTTTTAACTCCATTCCTAACTCTGAATGATTTGCATAATTAAGTGAAATGTTTGTCATTGAAATCATTGGTTATATTGTGTACTGATGCTTGTACAGGATGAAGCATGCTATTTCTACTAAAAGAAACAAAATATAATTAAAGCTATCATTTGATGTAAACAAACAGTAGGATTTGTAGGCGATAAATTTAATTCAATCCCAAGTGTACATTCTTTCTTAATGACAGGAGTGATTGAGTAATCTGTTCTTAACAGAATTCAGTCGTTATTATTTCCAAAGTAAAATATGTTTTAGTGTAAAACAAGTTTTTACACAATATTATCAATTAGAAAAACTAAGACAGTAAGGACTTCTCCTACTATTACTAATAATAAAGATACAACAAAATCATGGATTTCATCAATGACGATACCATACCGAAAAGATACTTATGAATAGATTGAAAAGTGTGCGCCTCTTACAGTGTTTTAAACCTTCAAATTCACTAGAAAAGATCTTAGTAAAGGTGAAAGATACATTTTCTAAGATGATGCAGAACAACTATGTCTAAAAAACTAAATGCCTGGAATATCAGGCTAACTATATTGGAGAAAGTTGTAGACCCCTGACAATTATGATGAATAAAGACAGGTTATATACGAAAGGTCCATTGAAGAACCAAGATGAACTTAGAAATTTGTTTTAGGGATCAGCAGTAGTCATGCCTACAATCAAAAGTGGACTTATAATTGATAGTCTAGACATGTTGGGAAAAATTTTCTATTTGCATAAAGAAAGATTAACCTCAGATACCAAACATATTTTAACAAAGTCAAATGGTATAAACCGGAGAGACGGAATAGACTTATTACCTATTTGGTAAAAACTAATCTTACGAAACCAGTTATGATAACTTCTTCCCATTGAAAATTTAATAACACTGACAATTACTGATTATTCGTCAATAAGCTAATATTTTCACGCAAGTACAGGAAACAATACACAACATAGTTTGCGCACACACTTTGATTACCCTCCATTTTTCATTGAAAAATGAAAATAAGATTACGAATCATAATAACTTAGTCTGAACAACAAACCACCTAACTAATGACCTATATACACTAAATATTTGATGTACTATTTGACTATATATTTTGATGTCAATAAAAAGCTTGAATATTCTGCTGAAGAAGCTGTGGCTTATACAGTGAAACATTCATAAAAAATTTGTTTTGATTTTCAATTAAAATATATTCTTATAATAATTAAATTAGAATTGATGCTCAACTTTTCTCACGACATTTGTAACAATTATGATCTGGACGTTTATAGAATATAGTATTATTGCTTGTAATTCCCCGTAGTTTACTGAACTAAACTGACCAATCACTATTGGCACGTAAACTGCTGCGTGGATGCGTCTGTATTGCCAATAATTTCAGTTTGTTAGTAATAATGAATAGTCACTAGGAATGGAGTTCAAGAAGCTCATCTCTTCCTGCTTGAGACTTACTAGTCGGATGTACTCGCCTCCTAGTGAGTGATGTTATTCCCACTAAGACCCGGGCCTGCGAAGAATCTCTTCAAACGCCACAGCATGTTCAACTGGGCCACTGAGTAACGATGATTACTTATGATCGTGTGACCTATTAAATTCTTGTTATTCAAGTTTAAGATGATGATAAAGATAATAAAAACAGCAAGAATTACAATACTCAAGTGTAAGCACCACGTAGTCTAAGTGATAAATCAGGTTTACATCACATTGTTGATGGGTATCACTTTTGATTATATAAAATAGAATATAGCAGACACTTGTGAACTGGTAGAAATGTCCTTCATTTTATGTAGTTAAAGTATTGAATTATCAAGAGTTTTTTGAACCACTTGTTTATAGCAGATTTCAGGTTAGTAATTTATTTTGTAACAGGTAGTGTAGTTACTCGTTCACTGCTTACTATCCCTTCATATAAATAGCGTGAACAGGAAACCGCATTCCAGTATGTAAATGATTGGAAACGTATTGTCCGTTAAGAGTAAAAACAAAACAACTTGAAAACTGTCACATTCAAGAAAGAGATGAATACAGTTGCATTCTACCCAATAACTGCTAAACAGACTAAACATGTTGGCTTTATATTGATGATGGGTAGTGGCTAGCTGTGGGATCCAGGACGCGGATTTCGTCTTGTTTGGGACTCGTCAGCTGGGCATGCCTACCTCCAAGTGAGAGGTTTTGTTCTCACTAGGAATCGACCATCGTGACTCGGTTACCTGATGGATAACGCTCTGGAATTTGAAGAGATCGGTTACAGACTCGAGTCTTAGTGGGGACAACATATTACTGGGTGACAGGTACATGCAACTGACCAGTTCCGACTAGGATAAAACGCGCGTTTTAGATTCCGCTGCTAGCCGCTCTCCATCAATAATATAAAATTGAGACGGGCAATATTGAGGTATCCATTCAGGAGTCTATATGTCAATAAAGGCCAACCAATTCAGTCCGACCAACGAGAGGATAACAGAAGTTACAACACAAATTGGTAACATTTAGCTATTCTCAAAGGCAATATTACTTCAAAGGGCATGTTGCAGTTGAATGGCAGGCGGCTGGGCATGCGTGACACAGAAATTAGCCACTTTGGTTCATTTAGGTTCATGACCCCATAAGCTGACTTACCACTTACAGCTAACCTCTCACTTGTTCAAATGATGATTCTATCACACATTGAGTGAGGCTAGAATTCAGAAATTTCGGTGTATACGAAAGATGCTCTTGTGCAAGTGTGCATCAGTGTCCGAGACATTCATTTCATCATATGTGTTTATCGAAACTACTGTTGTTTAGATCTGCACGTTTTTTCGGATAACATTTTTAAAACATTTAGTCAATGAGTATAAGTTTCGATTTGACGAAGAATAATACTGATTTTAAATTGTGTACGATTTTACTATCTCTGTGA